CACATACTGCTGACTCACAATACACATATAGTGGAGTGGTAAGTTAAGGATTGTTCTCAATATAATATACTGTGTGCAGCCAAATAACTAAATATTAAAATAACTTGCAAATGTTATAGGTGCCTGTTAATATTGCATTTATATTAGCAATATGGGGTTATTTTAACAGGCTTTTAACTTTCTATTGAGTGGGTTCGTAAAATGAGTTAAGGCTCAAAATAATGGCCGGTCAACAGACAATGTCTGGTCAGGATGCCAACTTTACCTTTACCTTTATTATTCTTTTAAATGTAATTTGAAGGTCAAGTTAACAACAAAGAACGGCTTCTGTGCTAGCGGTCTGTGGTTGATGTGTATGCGCATGCCTGATAGTTTGCTTTATCGAAAGGCTTTGGCACGTATATTATGCTTGCATTATTTTAAGCATAATAATGGCAAAAGCATTGAGAATAATGTCAACATTTTAGCAAGAGTTTTGTATCATTAAAGAGGAAGAATTTGTCTAAAGTGATGAAATTCACCAAGAAACAGCCAAAGATATATTTCGGAGGTTTCTAGCCAAAACTAGAGAGAGCCTGGGTCTAGTCAATGCCCACATTCATCCTGGTCAGTAGTTCAGCATGTGCAGCTGCCATTTTGATTGCTTGATATTCCATTATGGATGGCTCAGAGAAAAGTAACAAATACATCCTAGTTACTGAAAATTTTTGTGTCTGTTGTTGTGTATGTATTGATGGAACTTTCAAGCATTTTAGCAAGACCATACAAGCATAATAGTAAAACATTTGAGCATTAAGCATTAGCACAGCGAAAACTAGAAGAATAATGTGCCAATAGCCCATTCATCGTTCAGTGTGCAATGGAAACTCAATATAATAAAGGGCAAAATACTGGCGATAATTCAAAACCCTAAATATACTATTTTCAGCATTTTAGGCACCATTAATTGAGTACAACAGATAAAGGAAGATTTCTTATCAATGGAAGCGTATTTTTTAGTAGTGAGGTAACATAATGACAGTTTCTACATAGGAAAGTGAACATGGCCTTCGCAGTAGAATGAACAACCTAAGCGGTTAAAAAAGAACCTGAAAAAATTTGGGCTTAACATTAATACATATGCTGGAAAACAATGAATATGCTCAGAATTGCCGTGTGTGAACTTAGCACAGTCTGCACTTCATACAAGATGAGTGTAACTACATGTATATTGTCAAACAGTAAAGTTCCTTGTTAGTTTAATGACTGTTTTATTTAACTTATGAAAGAATCTTTCTTTATCTAAATACTTCATTCCCAGCTTTTAATAATGGGAGAAAAAGTAGGTGTCTGTTGTGACAAAGTTTTATAATATCATCGTTCTTTTCCATATATTTTACTATTACTGAGGCGAAGAATACCGTTCATTGTACTGAGAACTTTGTTAATTTTATATATTACAATGTACATGATACCTGTCATTTGAGGTTTTATGTACTGTGTTGATAATAGGCCTTTATACACTGTCGACATAACGTCTATTCTTTTTTCTCACCTGATTGTTACATTAATCTGGTTTAAAGGTACCAACTGAGAACTGTGAAAATTGCGGTAAATGTACATGTGTGTGCGTAACTGAGGAACAACCACAGCTGCAAAATCACCAGTGCGAATCAGAGGATTGTTCGGTCTGTTTGGGGGTGAGTTGAACTCCTTTTTTATTGATTATCTTTTGTCAGTTGATAAATAATTTTAATTATTATAATATTATACAACTATCCCCCGAAGGGGAGGTGAATGGTGGTGGACGTACCGAGACGCGAAGAGTCGAGGTATATATCTAGTGCTTATAATGAACCGACCCTGAGGGGGATAGTTGTTTTGGTATAATTTTACCAAATCAGTTGGATAAATATCAAAAAGGAACTTTTTGTGAATAAAAGACGTCACTTAGTTAGAGTTTGTTTACATTTTAATTAATTGACAGTGTTTCCAGGATCATTTTTTATGATTTTGTTGCAAATTCAGTAAGAAAATGTTTTTCTACTGACCAGTAAACACCAACAAGCCAAATTTTGTCTCTTTCTTGGTATTTGTTAGTTGCAGCTGCTTCATTTACTGCTAAAATTTCGTCTTTCGAAACTGTCGCAAAACGGGGAGCCATTTTGAATCCCGTCCCAAAACAGTGAATATCCAAGGATATTCCGAATTACGGGAGCCTGAATCAGAAAGCGCGAAAATTGCTATCCACTGATTTGGTGAATACTAATATGGATTACTTCAAAACTAACTCAATGCAATGATGTAGTTTAAATTTGTGTAAGAAGACTGGCTTGTCTACATACACTTATCAAAAACTCTCTGCGGAAGTTTTACTTTAGCCCTGATCGGTGATCAAACTCAGGGCTAATGCAGGGGTTTCATTAAGAATTGCAGTAGCAGGAGAATAGTGTAAAGTAACTGGAGAATATTTTGAAAGAGCGAAGGCCTTTCCCAGAAAGAGCTTGAAAACAAAATTTGCTAAACGGAAGTCTGCTTTACTACAAAACAATAAAGTGCGAAAAAAAATTCTGCCTTTAGTTCAGTTACTACATACTAAACCCCAATGTTGCCTCACCCTCAGAACAACATTTCTTCAAATGACATCTGCTCTAGCCTTTACAAAGAGAAATATACAAAACACTGACGTTTATCTTCTAAATATTCTTGTCCGGACCTAACTCTTTCGTCACGTATCACACTCTACCCAAACTTGTACATAATTATGTGTTTGGCTTGTCAACACTTTGACTTCAACAGAGCCAATTGGGTCTCCGATAATCTGCATGTGAGCTCCGGTTGATATTTGTGAACAATGGGAAAGGAATTAACCACTTGATTTAGCAGACGTTCAGGGGGCAGGAATGTGTGACAAACCCCTAAGAATGTCTGGGTGGGAGGTTAGGGATATCAAGGCTCTGGTCCAGCTTATCCTCTTGTCTTCAGCCCAAACAACCCCTTTGTAAGCTTAACTTCACCCCCAAGGCCCGTGAATAATATTATTAGCTCCCCTTACTCAAAAGTTTTAATGATCTTCCATTGCAAACTAACCTCACATTCCTTGCTGTTCACTTTATGCTCATTTCTTACTGTGGAAAGTAAAGACATTAAAGTTAACAAAACTGAAAATGAAAGTAATAAATTATTATGTTGAAGTTGTGTGGTGGCCCTGAGTCTCTTTCTGTATGCATGGGTTTGTTTATGGAGTGTGATGCGAACCAGTGAGGCATGTGACATAGACGTGCAAGGCAAGAACAACATGTGCGAGGCATCGACAAAAGCATGTGAGGCATAAGAGAACCAAATACTCAAGCTGCTGTTTTTGGAAAGTTAGTTTTGATGATGTGTTTTCTTTGTAAAACACAAGTCTAGGTGATGGGAAATAGATAGGTTTATGGAAGAGGCAACTAACTTACACTCTACTATAAAATTCATGGCTGGGATGTCAGAAACAGAGGTCACTTTCTTGGACACAAAAGTGTACATACTAAATAATCGATACTCATCCTGTACAAGAGAGGATACCCCCTCTCTGCCTACTCCTCGTGCCAACCCATTTCCTGACACTGACTCTAAACATCACATAATCTGGTATTGTGAAACTTCTAGAGCTTGAGGGCCTGACTTCATATCCTGTCATGTGTTAAGAGAGGCCTCTACCCAACTAGCTCCTTATCCCTGGTGCATTTTTTGTTTGAACTGGTCAGGTTCCCTTTAATTTGATTGGTTGAATGCCAATGTAATGCCATTATTCAAGACTCCAAATAAAAATACATGTATTGTCTTGTCTACGTCGGGCTACGTATACTTAAGTGGACCATTAATTTTTCCCGGGACTTTATTTTGGAAAGAAAAAAAGGAGAAATCATGCCACACGGTGTAGCCTTTGAAAACAGTCACCTCTCCTTGCTCCATGCTGCAAGGGACATTTCACCAGGCTACATGTGGTGTGACAAATCGAAATGGGAAATGTCAAGCAAGACACAATGGCACATGTCTAACCTTATCCAGAACTCAAAGTGAATTTTTTGTACATGCATCTCTACTCTTTCCTGCTCCATGCCTTGTTAAATAAGGAGACGTCCCTACATCAGTGAACTTATAACTGTCCAACCCAAATCTACCTACGGTCTCCGCTCAAACAACAGTACTCTGCTGCTACCTCCTACACAGAAAATGCTGCCTACACTTGGTGCTCGCTCCTTTGCTGCTGCTGCCCCTGCAGTTTGGATCAAACCTCCTTCTGTTATCAGAAATGTTGCTTCCTTAAAATAGTTTTAAGAAATCAATCAAAGACCTTTCTTTTTAACGAGTCACTTTAAATTTTATTTCTTACTTTTTCTCCATTCAATATTGTATTTAATTTTATGTGAAATTTTTGTAAAGCGCTTTTAATAGCATCTGGAACGAGGGCTGCGAGTTTGTATGTGTTAAGAAACTTCAGACACCAGGTAAACAATTTTAGTGTTAGTGGTGACTGAATAATCTGTCATGTTCATTTTAGAGATCCTGTGAAAGAAGGGAGGGAGAATTTGTGGAAGCCAGAAGAGGGTCGATCACACAAGAACAAAACACACGTGCTGCCTTTTCTCAGCAATATGGGCAATATAGCAGGGCAGTAAGTTAAACAATTTTTTTTTCTTTTCACGTACAGTTATGCATGTATTGTCAAAAAGTAAAGCTCCTTTTTAGATTGATGACTGCAGTTTTATTTAAGTTATGAAAGAATCCTTCTTTAATTATCTTAATACTTCATTTCCAGCTTTTAATCATGGGGAAAAAGTAGCCTGTGTTTGTTATAACAAAGTTTTATAATATTATTGTTCTTTTCCTTATAATTATATATATATTTTACTGTTACTGGGATAAAGAATACTGTTTGTTGTACTGAGAACTTTGTTAATTCTTTATATTACAATGTACATGATACCTTTAATTTGAGGTTTTATGTACTATGTGATAATAAACATTTATACACTGTAGACATAATGTCTATTCTTTTTCTCACCTGATTGTTACATTAATCTGGTTTAAAGGCACCAGCTGAGAACTGTGAAATTTGCAGTAGATGTACATGTGTGTGCATAACTGAGGAACAACCACAGCTGCAAAATCACCAGTGCGAAACAGAAGATTGTTCTGTCTGTTTGGGGGTGAGTTGAACTCCTCTTTTTATTGTTTATCTTGTGTCAGTTGATAAATAATTTATTATAATATTATACAACTATCCCCCGAAGAGGAGGTGAATAGTGGTGGATATGTTGTAGTTCAATTTTTACCTCTGGTTAAATTTTTTTAAACTGGTTGAATTTTTTTGAACCAGTTAGTTTTTTTTTAAACCGGTTTAATTTTTGTAAATCAGTTTTTAATCAACTGTCTGAAAAAGGGCCTTTAATTTTTTGGGGTGTGGATAAAAAATAGGGGCTTGGCTTTTTAGGGGGGGTCAAAGATGAAGAACTAGATGTAAGAAGAATAAACAAGTGAATTTCCGCCTCACTCTCTCCACCAACCCCCTCACAGTTTCTAACCCTACACTACTACCCCTCAGTTTCTTATCAACCACCCCTGATAGCCCCCTGACAAGAACTTACCACTCCGTTACCACTTTGCGCTTACCTTACTCAGTAACAATTTCCTTCTTTTTTGCAACCTCATTCTGTACTCACCAGGATTTGAACCTCCAACCTCCAGATCTGTTGCCATCTGTTCTCTCCATTAGGCCATGCTAGATTTCATTGAAAGCCATTTCATTTTTGTTGCTATTATAATTTATTGGTCTCAGACTCCCCTCTGCTCGGCCAACTTAATTATTAAAATATTCGTACACTTACATGCATGCGCTTTTGATGCACACTTGGACTTGCAATTTTGATAAGATGGCGGAAGCACCGACGGAAGAGAACTGCTGCGTTTTAAAAGACATTTTTCACCACAAATTAGATGATTTAAAAGCGAAACAGACCAAACATGAATCTCTTATAACGTTGTTTATCGACGACCACTTTTTCGAGAAGGCAAAGAGATATTTGAAACATCAAGCAGAAAAGTCCCTCGGACTAGACTCAGCACAAGAAACCTGTTTACAAATGACCAAATGGGAGATCAACACAATCAAGCGAAAGAACTGGTCCTTTGAAAATGATTCGCTAGTAACGGAAGACAAAAAGAAAGTGGTCCCCAAAGGACAGCTTCATGAGGTCTTAAGCCTTGCTCACAGACGCATTAATCACCGAGGAAGACAGATAACCAGCAAATGGATCAACAATAACTACAGCGAAGTTAACAGTAAGGTAATCAGCCTGTTCGTTACTTCATGTCGTTTTCATGTTGAACAACAATCTATTACCAGTCGTGTGAAAATGGTGGAAAAACCTCTTCAGTCTCCGCGTTTTCTTTCTCTTCTGGAGATTGACTTAATGGATTTCAGAAACTGTCCATGCGATTGCAGAGAACCTCACACCTGGGCGATTAACATCATAGATCATCACACCAAATATGTTTACGTTTCACCACTTATAAACAAAACTGCTGATGAGGTACTGAGAGTCATCAAAATTTACTGTCACACATATGGTTTCCCCAAAATGATTCTCACCGACAATGGAAAGGAATTCAAGAACAAAAAAATGGAAACATTCTGCAACGAAAATGGGATCAAGCAAGGGCATGGCTCTCCACGTACTCCCACAACGCAAGGTCTTGTGGAGAGAGCAAACAGATCATGGAAAGAAGACATGAGAGCGCTAATAGTTTCTACTAATAAAGAAAGCAACAAATGGTGCCAGTCTACTATGGAAGCTGCTTATGTAAGAAATATTGCCTACCACCGTGCTATCAAGCAGAGTCCTTATGAGGCAGTATATGGCATAAAGCCACACAGGGAGCAGCTTAACCCTTCATTGTCACTTGACCAGGCAACTGAAGGTGAAGCTCCAGTTACTACTAGTGACACAGGTGAAAGTACCCAATCCATAAGTGATGAACGGACAAAAAAGCGCAAATCTATCAGTGAAAATCAGGAAGATTACAACAACAGAATGATAAAACAAACACGGCAGAGTTCCAGAAGCAAATCTTTCAAAGTTGATGATATGGTCTCTATAAAGATTGATAAAGTTGATAAAAAAAACACCCATGCATCCAAATATGCTGATGGGAAAAATTACTGCTACAGAAAATGGCTATGCCAAAGTTGTCACTCAATTTGGAGTAATCCAAGGTTACATTGCAACATCCAGGTTACAGCCTTGTACAGCAACTGGTGTGAAATTAAATTATGACAAAGAAATTTCATTTTCGAGTGCTTGTAAAGAGGCACACAATTCAAATTGAACATTGAAGCATGTTTATCATGGACAGTCATCATGAACATATTATCATTTGAACATAATTATATAGAGTGACTTTAGTACCTTCCCATTTTTGTATTACTTCTATTACTTAACTGTGAACAATAAAAAGGTACGTGTTGCAAAAACAATAAAATTTCAGTATTTTTAAACCAAAAAAAAGACTCGTACAAACGTTTCAAAGAAGAGTTTTGCTCAATACATTCCTCAAACCAGGAAATATAACCTGGACGTCAGTAATAAACTGCAATCAAAGCTTTAAGGAGAGAACAGTGACATATCAAGCATGAACCATCATCCTGAACAGCAATGGATAACAACAAAGATAATCGCTGCATTTACCGCTTCCCTCTCTTATTCTGGTTTCACAGTAGAAATAGTTCCTAAGCCTCTTCCATTGGTGGCGATGCACAGAGTACAACCTGTAGTAACCTGTATTATCCCTATCCTTAACCCTAACCCTAACCTGTATTATCCCTATCCTTAACCCTAACCCTAACCTGTATTATCCCTAACCCTAACCCTAACCCTAACCCTAATCTGTAAAATGAGTGCTTAAACCTAATTAGTAAAATGAGTGCTTAACCCTAATCAGTAAAATTAACACTTGCTAAAATGTGTGACACCTTAATATCACGGGTTTATTTTACACAGAGTATTTTACATGCAGAGATACAAATAAATGACAATGAGAGATGTGTTTAAAAATTTTAAACCAGTGTGAAAATTTCACACCAGTTTGAAAAATTTAAACCAGTTTAAAAAAATTCAAACCAAAGAAAAAATTTGAACTACAACAGATATATATACCAAGACGCGAAGTGTCGAGGTATATACCTAGTGCTATGAACCGACCCTGAGGGGGATAGTTGTTTTAGTATTTACCAAATCAGTTGGATAAATATCAAAAAGGAACTTTTTGTAAATAAAAGACGTCACTGAGTTAGAGTTTGTTTACATTTTAATTGACAGTGTTTCCAGGATCATTTTTTATGATTTTGTTGCAAATTCAGTAAGAAAATGTTTTTCTACCGACCAGTAAACACCAACAAGCCAAATTTTGTCTCTTTCTTGGTATTTGTTAGTTGCAGCTGCTTCATTTACTGCTAAAATTTCGTCTTTCGAAACTGTCGCAAAACGGGGAGCCATTTTGAATCCCGTCCCAAAACAGTGAATATCCAAGGATATTCCGAATTACGGGAGCCTGAATCAGAAAGCGCGAAAATTGCTATCCACTGATTTGGTGAATACTAATATGGATTACTTCAAAACTAACTCAATGCAATGATGTAGTTTAAATTTGTGTAAGAAGACTGGCTTGTCTACATACACTTATCAAAAACTCTCTGCGGAAGTTTTACTTTAGCCCTGATCGTTGATCAAACTCAGGGCTAATGTAGGGGTTTCATTAAGAATTGCAGTAGCAGGAGAGTAGTGTAAAGTAACTAGAGAATATTTTGAAAGAGCGAAGGCCTTTCCCAGAAAGAGCTTGAAAACAAAATTTGCTAAACGGAAGTCTGCTTTACTACAAAACAATAAAGTGCGAAAAAAAATTCTGCCTTTAGTTCAGTTACTACATACTAAACCCCGATGTTGCCTCACCCTCAGAACAACATTTTTTTTAAATGACATCTGCTCTAGCCTTTACAAAGAGAAATATACAAAACACTGACATTTATCTTCTAAATATTCTTGTCCGGACCTAACTCTTTCGTCACGTATCACACTCTACCCAAACTTGTACATAATTTATGTGTTTGGCTTGTCAACACTTTGACTTCAACAGAGCCAATTGGGTCTCTGATAATCTGCATGTGAGCTCCGGTTGATATTTGTGAACAATGGGAAAGGAATTAACCACTTGATTCAGCAGACGTTCAGGGGGTATGAATGTGTGACAAACCCCTAAGAATGTCTGGGTGGGAGGTTAGGGATATCAAGGCTCTGGTCCAGCTTATCCTCTTGTCTTCAGCCCAAACAACCCCTTTGTAAGCTTAACTTCACCCCCAAGGCCCGTGAATAATATTATTAGCTCCCCTTACTCAAACATTTTAATGATCTTCCATTGCAAACTAACCTCACATTCCTTGCTGTTCACTTTATGCTCATTTCTTACGGTGGAAAGTAAAGACATTAAAGTTAACAAAACTGAAAATGAAAGTAATAAATTATTATGTTGAAGTTGTGTGGTGGCCCTGAGTCTCTTTCTGTATGCATGGGTTTGTTTATGGAGTGTGATGCGAACCAGTGAGGCATGTGACATAGACGTGCAAGGCAAGAACAACATGTGCGAGGCATCGACAAAAACATGTGAGGCATAAGAGAACCAAATACTCAAGCTGCTGTTTTTGGAAAGTTAGTTTTGATGATGTGTTTTCTTTGTAAAACATAAGTCTAGGTGATGGGAAATAGATTGGTTTGTAGAAGAGGCAAATAACTTACACTCTACTATAAAATTCATGGCTGGGATGTCAGAAACAGAGGTCACTTTCTTGGACACAAAAGTGTACATACTAAATAATTGATACTCATCCCGTACAAGAGAGGATACCCCCTCTCTGCCTACTCCTCGTGCCAACCCATTTCCTGACACTGACTCTAAACATCACATAATCTGGTATTGTGAAACTTCTAGAGCTTGAGGGCCTGACTTCATATCCTGTCATGTGTTAAGAGAGGCCTCTACCCAACTAGCTCCTTATCCCTGGTGCATTTTTTGTTTGAACTGGTCAGGTTCCCTTTAATTTGATTGGTTGAATGCCAATGTAATGCCATTATTCAAGACTCCAAATAAAAATACATGTATTGTCTTGTCTACGCCGGGCTACGATACTTAAGTGGACCATTAATTTTTCCCGGACTTTATTTTGGAAAGAAAAAAAGGAGAAATCATGCCACACGGTGTAGCCTGTGAAAACAGTCACCTCTCCTTGCTCCATGCTGCAAGGGACATTTCACCAGGCTACTGTGTGGTGTGACAAATCGAAATGGGAAATGTCAAGCAAGACACAATGGCACATGTCTAACCTTATCCAGAACTCAAAGTGAATTTTTTGTACATGCATCTCTACTCTTTCCTGCTCCATGCCTTGTTAAATAAGGAGACGTCCCTACATCAGTGAACTTATAACTGTCCAACCCAAATCTACCTACGGTCTCCGCTCAAACAACAGTACTCTGCTGCTACCTCCTACACAGAAAATGCTGCCTACACTTGGTGCTTGCTCCTTTGCTCATGCTGCTTCCCCTGCACTTTGGAACAAACTGCCTTCTGTTCTTAGAAATGTTGCTTCCTTAAAATAGTTTTAAGAAATCAATCAAAGACCTTTCTTTTTAACGAGTTACTTTAAATTTTATTTGTTACTTTTTCTCCATTCAATATTGTATTAAATTTTATATGAAATTTTGGAAAGCGCTTTTGATAGCATCTTGAAAGAGCACTATAGAAATTTTTAATTTATTAATTTATTCAATTTATTGTCTACGAGTCCTCAGCTACTATGTTTGCTGTGATGAGGTCAACTGAGGTGAATGATGTAAACAGATATTTTGAAGCCTGGCCTGCGAAGGGGGTGCTAATATGTCGTTTGCATGTCTGGATTTTAAAGTGTCTTTATACTTCATGTCACTGTCAGAAGTTAAAACGTTTTTTTAAAAAATGTCGTGATATCATTTTATTTGCTTTTGCTTCCTGGAATTTACCCTCACAGGGCCCCAGATTTGTCAACATTCACCAGAGTGTAGATGAGGCTATAAGCAAATAAATAAAATTAATATTGTTCTTTTCTGGAAAAGTATAAATGGATGCCGAGTTTGTATGTGTTTAGAAACTTCAGACTCCAGGTGAACAATTTTTATAGTGTTAGTGGTGACTGAGTAATCTGTCATGTTCATTTTAGAGATCCACTGAAAGAAGGGAGAGAGAATTTGTTGAAGCCAGAAGGGAGTCGGCACAAGAACAAAACATATGTGCTGCCTTTTCTCAACAATATGGGCAATATAGCACAGCAGTAAGTTAAACAAATTTTCTTTCTTTTCGCATACAGTTATAATGCAAAAATGTAAGTTAGAGCTATTTTGCAAACATAATAATTTTATGAAACACTTATCTTGCAGAGTGACAATCAAGGTTGCTTTTAGAAATAATAGGTGACATTGGGTTTGAGGGCTGTGAAACTTCCAGAAGGGAGGGGATTCAACAATTAATTATTGTTATTGTTATTATTATTATTATTATTATTATTATTATTTACCAGTATTTCTACAGGATTTACCCCTTCAGCAGAGCTGATTTCAAAAGGGGTCCTGATAAACTAAAACTATATGCATGAGAATATAACAAAATAGGAAAATGCACGGTGAGAGGGATACTTGAAAAATGAGCTATACAGCAAAATTACAAAATAACAGTCCTCAGCGTCTCTTTAAATTGAGGTAAAGATTTGCACTGGTCTGCTGAGTCCGGGAGTTCATCGTAGTTCCTTGCTACCAGTGGTATGTAATGGATTTCTTTCTAAATTCAGTTCACACAGCCAGAGGTACAACATAAAATTCTGACTGCCCCTCTTTGTATGGCTGTGTCGTCAGCATACACCTCTTTGGAGAACACATTGAATATTCATAGAGGATGAATAGAAGAGGGCTGAAAATGCTTCCCTGCGGAACTCCACTAGTAACATTTTGGGGCCAGGATATTACACCGTTAAAGCACAAATATTTAGGTTCAAGATGGTCCACTTTATTCATTATTCATTTCCTACTGAGTTATGAAAAATTATGCACGAATTTCATGCGCATTTTAACTTCTTTTACATGTAGTTTTTATTATGTTAATTACGTAATTTTATTTACGTTTGATTGTGTTAAAACGCAACACCAAAACCAACACAGGAAATCGCAAGCAGGTAAGATAGGTCCATCCTGCCTGTTTGGGTAGCCAATCAGTACACAGGATTCACTTCGCCTTGCCCGCTCGCAGATTCAGCCATATAACAAGTCGAATTTTAACTTTTGAATCTTTATGTACTTGGCAAATCTTCAACTTAAAAGTAATAGAGCTTTAGTCTTTGGTATTCGATCTGTCCAGCCATCATTATATGACCACTGGTAGACTTAGTTCAAGTTGGTCAGTGGGAAAATTTAGACAGACGTCTGATGATTGATAGACTCCCATTACAGCTCAAGCCTCGTACATGAATCAGTTTAAGGGAAATCCTTATCCTTCACTCTGGGCCATCCCAAAAATTTCCAGAAACGTTTATTTATTTTTTTGTGATCAATGTTATTTTTTTTGTTTGGTGGGCACCAATAAAATGTTGCTTGCCAGTCATGTGGAGTCAAAGTACGTCAATGACCGACTGGGTAGCAAACAGGTGTTTGTGGAGGAAAGGAGTATAGATCTAACTCCCTTAAAAACGCCTTTATTTATTGTGCGAGGCTAGTTGAGTAGAAACAACGGATAGGAGACTGCAGTTCTGACAGGCTTGATAAGTGTTTGTTGTTAGCTACAAATATGTAGACTTTCTATTTTTTGACTCATCATTCTTATAATTTGGTTTAAAGGCGCCCACCCACAACTGTTGGATTTGCTGTAGGTATGTTGACTGCCAGCTTCCTGAATCTCACCAGGAGTGTGAACCTTTTGAGTGCTGTATCTGCTTGGGGGTGAGCTTAAATTATCTGTTCTTCTTGCACATTTGTTTTCAATATGCCTAGAACTACCAATATTTGTATTTCACATACTTATCACTGGCGGATCTCAGGGGAGGGTGCAGGGGGTGCGCACCCCCCCTTCGAGATGACCTGCGGTTTTCTAATACAACTGGTATTCTGCAGAAAAGAACTATGTGGTTTACTGGTGTTGAAGTAGAGCAAGAGACGAGTGCACCCCCTCCTAAAAAACATCCTGGATCCGCCCCTGCTTATATCCTTATATACACATTATTTCTTCTTGTATTTTAAATTGCCGCCTAGAAATTATGCAATCAAAGTGTTAAGGATTTAAAATGCCCAAGGGGGTGGGGGAGAATCTCTGCTTCTTATTAGCTCATTGGCTTCTTGGAGATTTCCCTGCCAGAGTCACTTTCCCGTCTGTTTATTTTAATTAATCTTATTAATCTATTTGTTATGATTTTACTGCCACTTTTTGTAATTTTATTTTGTGTGGTAAAAATAATAAAACAAAATAAATAAAAATGAAATAACTGTGAGCATCATAGCACTGATAGGATGTACACTCTTTTTTCACGTAATAATCGTTATGTCATTAATTCAAATAAGAAGAACCTTGTTCATGTGGGTAGGGTTGTGTTATTACTGATTCTCTGGCCAGTACAGTGGTAAATTGTTATTTTTTTTTTGTTAATCTCAGCTGTTAGATCCAGACATTGATTGCTACACATTGCCATGTTTGCACCAGCTACATGTAGAATGTGCCATTGAGCTGCTTAGAAATGACCAGTAAGTCACCATCATTCTCGTAACTTACTGTATTGTTCCAAAAGAGATTGTTCCCAGCCGATTATTGATGCCTACTCACTCGATTAGATCTTATGCCTTATCGATAAACTTATTTCAGTTTCTTAGCTTAGGCTTAGTTCAAATATTAAATTTCACAAGTGCCAAATTTAATGAATTAATTAAATACGGCAGTTAATTCAGACGTCGGATTTAATGGCATTCAGCCCTGGCCATTTTGGTAATAACATTGACCGCAGTGGTCGAATTTCACTCCGTAAAACTGTAAGTGCCCTTTTTATCACTTCTTTTACATCGCGGTGCAAGGTTTTTCTAAGTACCCGCGCGACAGTCTCCCGTGTTAGTAATTCCATATTAGAAGTAAATTTCGATTGGTTTTTCAAAACACCCCTGCATTGGAACCGAGTTACCGGTATACGCTTCAGGGTTATATGCTTCTGCTTCATCTTATAGTGAATTACCTGCTTTGTATATTCAACAATTATTCCATGAGTGCGCGTTGGATATGAGTTCGCTATAATCACCATATATCCAACAAGCGCGAGCGGAATTGTTTTATTAAAAACGCCCACAAAGTATCGAGAATTCTTCCCGACTTTATTTGTAAAAACAACCGATTTTCAGCTTGTTTTTAATTTTGAGCAGACGCGTACAGTTACCATATTTGGAGAGCATGGTATAATGGCTCATGATGGCTAAGCCTATCAGAGCTCTAGAATTACGTTATCGAATTATTCAGTTTTTAATATAAATATTTATATCCTTTTTCTTGTCTTCATTACAGTCGAGTCTGTCCTTTATGTCGGATCCCTCTGTTCTGATTCCGTCCAAGGAGAATCTGTGAGAGCATCATATAGTCTCTTTTGACTGAAACTGCGTTTTTGCAAGTTACGGTAGACCATAGTACGTTAGGAATAATTAGTGTAGTAATAATTTGCTGATAGATTACCAAAATCTATTACTGCCACGAGAAGTAGAGTCGTTTTCAAGATGTGTACACTTTTTAGTGAGCTCGTGGTCGACAAAAAGTGTACACATTTTGTGACTCGCTTTAGTAGGAATTGTAAGCTGCCATTAAATGGCATTAAAAGAACATGTTCGGTATGTATATTATTCTGTTTTGTATATAATTTTAACTGTAACAAAATTCTTCAATCCGATTGCTTCATAGTCGTGTTTGTCCTTCTCTAAATGATCTCCAAAAATGTGGTCAGACAATGTAATTGGACAGAAATGGCTTCACTTTATACGAACAAATACCGAATTTCTCACAACCTGCTCCTGTTTGGCCTTGTTGCTCAGTCAGTCACAGCCCTGGTAGATCTAACCCAGACGTTGCACGTTCAATCCTCGCCAGGGTCAAGAACATTTTATGAGGCTAAATGAAATTTAGGCAAAGTTAAAATAGAAACAATGATGGCCAGCGGTTTCTTGTTGCCTGGCTTGGGGTGGCCCTAGTCATCCACCAGGGGCACCTCGGGATTCATAAATGCAGTTTGCTTGCTAGCAGTTACTTGCAAAGTCATATTAAGCTTGCCTACCACCGCCTTGCTCAAAATTTTCCTCTCTTTTCACGATGACCGCTCGTCAAGCAAACAACAGCTTATCTGTGGACCAGTTTTCCGAGTCTTCGCAGTCCTCTGGAAAGGAACCTTTGGCTGCGATTTCAATCGCAACCCCGCAGACTCAAGTCGGCTTCGCCATCGTGGTTCGCTAGGTCCGGCCTTTCTAGCCACGGTGGTTAATGCTGTGAAGCTGGCCCTGGCAGCTGATGGCGATTCCGCTTTATCTTCTGGTACTTCAGCCGTTTGTTCGCTCCTGGAAGTGCGATTTCGCAAACAAAAACTGTGCCATCTATAAGGTGGGTGGGGGTGGGGGTTGGGGGTGAGCTGAACAATGACACAGCCCATAGAACTCACAATAACACGGTTTCCTGGTTTATTCCGCTTCAATCCGACTCACAAACTCTCACAAAACTCGATGAAAAAACCTCCAAGGAAAACTCGCGCTCTCTATACTTTTTCGACTCGTCCAGTTCTAGCTTACTCAGCACGCACGTGCTCATTACCTTATTTGGTAGCCCTAGCCCTAATTTGGTAGTGCTATTCAACGTCACAAAACTGTGAGGGGTAGGGTTGGTAAATCTCTCGTACACAACTCCCCTAAAAATTGTAGCACGCAATTTTTACAATCAAACGTAACTTGAGACTAATCCGATTTGCTATATGACAGTCCGGTTTATACTCAAACACAGTTCAGTTTATCAATTCTCTTCTTCTTGCAATTGTTCTGCGATTCTCTGAGCAGCCCTCTGAGCTGCAGCTCGTCTTGGTCTCTGTTCTCCTTCATCAGCTCGATCTCTCTCTCCCCTTTGAGATTGGTCAACATCCTCCACCGCTCTGATTTCCAAGGGACAAACTAACTGAAGCGGTCGGTCAATAGTGTGCCTTTTGTGTAGCAATGTCACCCCTCTAACGACGTCATCTTTGCCTTTGATAAGACGCTCTACTTTACCCTTTCTCCATTCTCTGCGGTTCTTTTAGTCTCCAATGATGAGTACAATTTCTCCCACTTGAGGTATAGTTCCCGTTTCCTTGTTAAGCCTGTGACTTTCCATTAGGCTATGGACATACTCCCTTTTCCAGCGTTTCCATGCATTGGCCTTAGCATTTTCCAATCGTTTTGCCATCCTTGTTAGCTTCTCTGCATCTGAGCCTTCAGTGTGTTCTACCGCATACACATCTCGTCTCCAGAGGATCATGTTTGGTGTAAGTACCGCCTCTTCCTCTCTCTCTGCTTCAACATATGTCAAGGGGCGATTGTTCAAATTTCTTTCGATGTCCATGATGACTGATTCAAATGCTTCATAGGAAAGGTGTGACCTCCCCAAGGTCTTATGCAAGGTCTTCTTTATCTCCTTAATCAGTCTCTCATAGATTCCTCCCCACCAGGGTGACTTTGCAAGATTAAACTGCCAGCGGATGTTCTCACGTGCTCAGTAATTCTGCAACTTCTCACTTCTCCTCACTGTCTTGATCCAATCTGCTGTAGCCTTAAACACTTTGGCATTATCCGAGATGATGATGCGAGGTCTTGTTCGTCGCGAGATAAAGGCATTCAGCTTACTCTTGAATTCATCTGCCGTTTGGGTTCTTGCAACTGCCAAATGGACCGCTCTGGAGCCGGCACAGGTGAAAATAATGACATAGCACTTTCCTTCTTCTTTCTTACCGACCTTGTACAGCAAGGGTCCGGCAAAGTCCACTCCGGTTACTTCAAACGGTCTGCTCCCCTCCGTTCTATATTCTGGCAGAGCACTAGTTGATGGCACTCCATAAGGTTTGGTGGAGTATACTTTACAGATGTTGCAGTTCTTAATGACCTTCTTCACTTTCACTCTCAACTTTGGTATCCACCAGTTTTCTCTCACGCTCGCCATCGTGTTCGCGACACCAAGATGCATGACCTGATGGTGGATGTGAAGGATAAGCTTCTCTGCAAGTAGACCACCAGGAAGGTAAATCGGCCTATATCCTTTAATTCTGCCTTCACACCTGAGAACTCCTGTACAGTCATCTTTGACCAACTTCCATCCTGGGGACTTCAGACAAGTATCCTCTGCTTTCTGAACTCGCTTTACCCAGTAGTCGCTTGCAGTTGTGATTTCTTCCGTAACTAATGGGCCTGACATCTTCTTTGACTTGCTTCTCGCTTTGCAGTTTCTGATAAAGCGTAACACCCATACTGTTACTCTCATTGTACGCCAGTAGGTGCTTCTTTCTAACAAGGCATCCCACTCATCGAACATGCGCTCTTGTGTGCGGAGAACTGCTTCTTGGGTGACCTTACTCTCTTCATCTGTTTCTTTGGTGCTATTCAGCCTTGGCTGCTCCGGCCACAAGGCATTTGCCGATTGTGCTAGTAAAAGTGGCATATTATGCTAGTGGCAGTGCTCGTTTTTTGCCCAAATTATGCTCAAATTATGCTCGCTTTTCAAAATTATGCTACTTTTTGAAAAAATTATTCTGTGCACAAACTTCACAACTCACAAGACAAGTTTGAAAATGTATTCTATTAACCCTGGCCAGACGTTCTGGGCCCGGTTGTTCAAAACCTGGGTAACTTTATCCGGTGGTTGGGCCTATACGGCGAATAAATCTGCTATCCAGCGGATAGTTATCCAGCGAACAAAAGTAGGTTGCACAAAGCCTGGATAGTGTGGTGGATAACTATCCGCGGATAGCTTGCTAGTTGCTAACCATCGCGTGTAGCAGAGCGTGACACAGTTTGCGCAAGGTTTTGCACTCAAATGGCCTCCAGTTACCATGGTAAAGTAAGCAAATTTCGAGTAAACAACGAACTTTGCGCGCGCTAGCAACAACGAACTGTGCGCGCTGGGTTTCAAAACAAATAAAAACAAATACAGTGAAAACTTAACCATGCAGTTTCTGACAAAGCCCTGGATAACAAATTTAACATTGAATAATCTCGCTCGTTTCTGAACCACGCAGTCCGGCTTGACTTCTCTAATTCGTTCTCTAACAGTTAATTAGCGCTTGTTATATTGAAGCATCACACTTGCTTGCAAGTAATCTGCAAGTGCACGATCTTGTTGATCGTTGAATGAAGCTGCCAGGATGCTGAATACTCTCTCTGCGGCAGCAGACGATGGTTGGACCAACAGTATTTTCTTCACTGCCATGGACCAATTTGGGAGACGGTCTGCGTGGGCCTGCCACCACTCCACCTTCTTTTCCTCTTGTTCAATGACCACATCCTGAGCAGCAGCGACGTACTGTGGAAGCTCTCTAATTAGGCCATTGATAGTTGCATCATTGTCGAGGAAATGGAAAATCCTTAGGGCTTCTACTGTGGCGGGTGTAGGCCTCATCCATTGAACGCAAAGAGTTCGCCTTGATCCCAAATTCAACGCAAAGGGCTTCGTTGAGAACTCTTGCTAGTTCTTTTGAATTCACCGACTTTGAG